AATAATAATAAATTAATTTAATTAAATAAATGTTTTAAAAATAATAATCAATAAACTTGAAATGAAAAAAAAAAGAAAAGAAAAATTTTAAAATAAATAAATAAATAATAAACTGCTCACTGGTTTATCAACTTGTCTCTTATGGGGTTGACTGCCCAATGTTGTATTGTTAAGCACTAGCTTTCACTATGATTATTCATTTTATTGTCTACTTTCTCCTCCAGTTTGTAATTTTTGTGCAAGCAGGGACCACATCAGTTCCATTCACTACTTAGAATGCAGCCATACAGCAGGTCCTAAAGCACAGTAATTAAGCCCTGTGTGCAGGAACCTGAATCCCATATGGCCAACTACAGTTCCAGTCCTGGCTTGATGGGGCCAGCAGGTGGCATAGTGGTAAGGCGTTAAGATTCCCACATGGTCAACTATGGTTCAAGTCCCAGATCTGGCAACCTGAAAATCACACCAGGTACATGTGCATGCATGCCCAAAATCCTATGAGGAAAATTATAAGAGAAGGTATTATAGCGTGGCCATTCCCACCGGGGGATGATTTCTCACTTTCTCTCTCTCCATCTCTCCCACAAGCAGGTATACCCTATGGCAAAAACCTAAAAAAAAAAAAAAAAGAAGAAGAAGAAGAAAGAAAAAGAAATAAAGAAACACATGCTGGTGTGCATGTGTGACCAAAATCCTGATGGGATGTTGTAAAGATGAAAAGGGGGAAAAAAGATTGTGACATAACCATGCCTCACTGACTTTCTCTCTGGAAAGAATGTGCACAAAGGAAAAAAAAGTAAAGAATGCAGCCCTAAGCACAATACCTAGTACAAAATTAATAGTAAATAAAAATTAGGCAAATAAAGGATTCACTGAATAAATAAATGACAAGGCCCCCAGTGACTAACTCTGGTCAAATACTAAAACCCAAGTGGAGGGACCAGCAGTTAGCGTAATGGCTATGTCGCTGGACTCCCATGTAGTCGGTTTAAGTTCTGGACCCAATGACTTACAGTTCATACTGGGCACATATATGTTCATGCCCAAGATCCCAAGAAGAGAATGGAGGAGAAGGGATTGTGGCATGGCTATCCCTCCAGGGGGTGATTTCTTGCTTTCTGTCTTTCTAGCAAGTACACGTGTCCTATAGCAAAAACCTCTAAAAAAAAACAAGTAGGTGGGGAAGGTGGACTAGCCCAAGCTCTGTGGTGTCCACCAAGGACTAGCCCAAGCTCTGTGGTGTCCACCAAGGACAAGTCACATTAGAAATCAGCTAAAACAGGCTGCTGGTTCTCTCTCCCATTTCTTTCGGTACACAGCACACCTTACTCTTTCTCTATACCAAGAGCCATTCACTCTACCTTGTCCTTGTCCATGACGACACTGGCCACAGGTCCAAATGCCTGGAAGTACTCAGAGAGCTGAGCAGAATCCACATCCCTGGGAAAACCGCTAACAAACACACTTCGAAGTCCTTGGGCCTTTCTGGCAGCTCGCAGTTCTACCAGGTGTCGGTGCTTCCGGCCTCCCAAATGGGCATCTAGGCTGGGGCCTGCAAAGAAAATTGTGAGATTAAAAACATCCAAATCTCTTTTCTGTATGCATAACCCATTGGCTTTGCTCTCTGGATACCTAAATCCTACTGACCCTTTCTTTTTCTTTTTTTTTTTTAAAGAATTACTTTATTTAACTTTATTTTAATTTGAACAGAGGGACAGAGTGAGAGAGAGAGAAAGCGAGAAGGCAAGCTGCCAGGTCTAGGATTTGAACCACAGTTGGCCATGTGGGAGTCCAGCGCCCTTAACCACCACACCACCTGCTGGCCCCCCTACTGACCCATTCAAGCCACAGAAAGTCTGACCTTTGAATAAACAAAAACCTGACTTCTTTCACTGTCTTTTCTTATCCATTTGTCTACATAATGTGGTCCCCAGGAGAACTGGCTAACAAGTAGTTCCTTTAAAAAAAAAAAAAAATTATTTAACTTTATTTTTAGTTTACCAGAGATGGACACAGAGAGAGAGAGAGAGAGACAGAAAGTGAGAAAGGAATCCACCAGGTCCAAGACTCAAACCACAGTTGTCCAAGTGGGAGTCCAACGCCCTTAACCACCATGCCACCTGCCAACCCCAAAGTAGTTCTTAAACCTTCCATTTGTGGGACCAGCAGATGGCGAAATGATTATATCACTGAACTCCCATGTAGTCTACAGTTCTGGACCCAGAGGCTTAAAACTCATGCCAGGCATGTGTGTGTGCATACCGAAGTTCCAGACAGGAGAACGAAGGGACTGCTGCATGGCCATCCCCCCTGGGGAGGTGATTTCTTGCTTTCTGTCTGTCTCTCTCTGTTTCTCTGATGAGCTCATGAGCCCTACAGCAAAAATCTCTGCGACCAGCAGTTAGCGTAATGGCTATGTTGCTGGACTCCCACGTAGTCGACCGCAGTTCGCATCCCAGGCCCGGTGGCTTAAAACTCACGCCAGGCACGTGTGCGTGCGTGCCCAAGATCCCGAGAGGAGAATGGAAGGGAAGGGACTGTGGCATGGCCATACCCCGTGGGGGGTGATTTCTCGCTTTCTGTCTCTGTCTCTGTCTGTTGGGCAAGCACATGTGCCCTATGGCCAAAACCTCTCCAAAAAAAGATTAAAACAAACCTTCCATTTGTGCTAGGTAAAGCAACACTTAGAAGTTGTAAAGAAACTGGGGCCAGCATGTGGCGTGGTTGTTAAGATACTGGACTCCCACATGGCCAACTACGGTTCAAATCCCAGACCTGGTGGCTTACTTTCTCACTTTCTCCCCCTCTCACTCTCTCTCTCTCTCTCTCTCTCTGCCTCTTTGGTCAAATTAAAAAATAAATAACAATAATAACAAATAAAATTAAATAAAAAAATGAGTTTAAAAAAAGAAGTTGTAAAGAAACTAAAAGGTCAAATGCAGAACATAAATCAGAAACCTGGATTATTCTTCAGGGAGCATCTCTAGGTATGGAATAGTGCGGGACTAAAATCAAACTGCCCAAGTTCATATCCCCACTCTGTCAAGCTATTTGAGACCTTGGCCAAGTTATTAACCTCTCTGTGCTCCATTTCTTCTGATATCAAATGGAGATAATAGTAGCTACTGGGTGCCAGCAGGTGGCGTGGTGGTTAAAGGAGCTGGACTCCCACATGGTTGACAGTGGCTCAAGTCCCAGACCTTATGGCTTGCCTTCTCACTTTCTCTCTCTCTCTCTGTCTCTATGATCAAACTGGAAAATAATAAAATTAAATAATTAAAAACATAATAATAGTATCTACCACATAAGTATTATCCATGAATAGCACTTGGCAGAGTCTGGTACATGGTAAAAGTGAAAAAAAATCAGTTGCTATCATTTATTATTGAATCAGTTTGATGTCAATCACCAAAGTACTGTGGGGCCAAAGAAGACTCCTGGGTTTCTAGCCTACCCTACTGGACAAATAGTGGTAATCCCATTCACAGAGAAAAGAAAGAACGGAAGAAAACCCTTTTGGGGGAAGATTATGATTCTGGACTTCAAGAGCCGAGCATGAGGTTTCATTGAGACCTTTGCATTGTCATACAACGTCCTTATCTACATTTCCAAGCTCACTTTCTGGCCTCTTCGATGGTACCTTATGCTGCCTTTATGCCATGCTATTTCGCCCATCTCTGCCTTTAGGAAGGTCTTCCGTAGGCCTTCCCTGACTTGACTTCTGTCTTGTCTGTGTCCCCACGGCTCTCCCAACGTATCTACAGAGCACTGA